CAGCACCCAGAGCAGCCATGGACTGAACCACTTCCCCACAGAGGAGGAAGACTCCACCATTAGTTTTGTCCCCTCAACTCAGGGCTGCCCCCCACCTAGCAACAACACCAGGATGGAATATTGCCACAGAAATGCCATGGATGCTGCCGCAGCTGTTCCTGCCAACACCGATGGAGCATCTTTCTCCCCCATTCAGCCGACAGGTAACTTTTCCCTTAGGGAGGCGACTGGTGGCCCATTGTTGTGCCACGGCCAACCACTGCAGCACAGGCACAATAGAGGATGGCTCTGTAAATGTCCAGAACCTGGCGCTCCACTATACAGATAACCATGCGAACGGACTGATAAAGATGTATCTATTCGCTTTTTAAATCCAATAAGTTCAACAGACGTTCGAAAAACCTGGGTTATAAATAAAAGGTTTACAAGTATTTTTAGACATTCTGTTTTAGTTTTAACAAGGCATTTTGGGCAGCTTTATTGCTGCCTCGGTGTTTAAGTGGCTCGTTTTACCCATAACTGTGACAGTTACTGATTGCACAGCTTATGATAAGCCACCAGCTTCCTTGGCATCTGTTCTAATCCTGGTTAGGAAGCAAGAAACGAACCACAGTTTTAAAAAACACCTTATTCTGTCATCACACAAACTGTAGTTTATCGAAGCCCTCCCGGTTTGCAGTTTTGGTATGGTGTTTGAGAGGAGGGGGAGGGAGAGCTGAAGCACTAGGACTTGCCGTATTCTCATAAAAAACGAAGGTATACTTGTGATATCTGAATTACTGAAAACATCTATCTTGATATAAAATTTACACTGTTTACACTAAGATTCATTACACGAGAGCTGGAAACAGTTTGAAAGAAGGCTCGTTGATTGTGTTTACATTAAATCCAGTCACCTCAAGTAAACAGGTTTTGAAGATTTTTGTATTTTCTTGGTAATGCTACTTTATGTCATTCTTTTTTTAAAGCCTCTTTCTGTTAACCACAATGTTGATGCTTCTGTTTCTCAATACTTCTCCTATAGTTTTCCACTTGGCAAAAAAAACAATACATGCTTAGCTGTTTTTAGCTGCAGCTGCTTGATCTTTTAAGGGGGGGGGATTGCAATGACTGTTTAAAACCCCCCCAAAACTAAGGCATTTAGGAATATACTGAAAAGTACTACTTTATCTAAAGTCATACACGATGCAGTTTGTGTTTGTGAAGCAGCAAACTATCTACTGCATATCATTCAAATCTGCCTCCCTCTCCAATGTCTGTTTTGGGAAACTGGGGTGTCGGGGACTACATTTCCCACGGCTTCAGTGTTTCTGGAATATTACATACCTCTTCCCTGACCCGGATGGCCCAAGCTAGCCTGATCGTGTTAGATCTCAGAAGCTAAGCAGGGTTGGCCCTGGTTACTATCTGGTGGGGAGCAGGGGTCATTTCCTGCAGAAAGCGCACAGGAGCGGAGCTCCGGAAGTAAAGAGCCCAGGGGGCGGGCACATGCAACAAGCCCCACCCCCTGCTCCCACCATCCCTCAGTCAGAGCAAGAAGCAGCCAGGTAAGTTGCAGAGCTCCCCCTGGCCCCCTGGTCCGAAACAGTCCAGTGGCACCTTTAAGACCAAGTTTTATTCAGGTACAAGCTCTCTCTCCTCTGCAAGAGCTGCATGTTCCCCCCACCCCTATAGCTAGCAATCCAAAACAGTCCAGTGGAGCCTGAGCGGTGGGTGTTGCCTTCTGACACACTTCCAGTGATGTCAGGGAGTGTGGGATATGCAAATAAGTTATGCTAATGAGTTATGCTAATGAGCTCCTGCACCTCTTTTTCTACAAAATGACCCCTGGTTGGGAGACCACCCAGGAAGTTCAGAGTCACTGTGAGGAGCCAGCCAACGGCAAACTGCCACTGATTGTCTCTTGCCTTTAAAAACCACTAGGGGTCGCCATAAGTCCACTTCAACTTGACAGTAGTTCCCACCGCCATATACCCCTGTGCGTTATCCTTAGGTCAAGTGGACGAGGAATTCTGCATACAAATGGCTGCTGGTTATGAAATTCCCCTGGCCCAATCTACCACCCAGAGCTAACACCGCAGTCTCTCTCCCCTCCTTAACAAAGAGGTGACCAGTGCTAGTCAGACTCTCTAGCTGAGGATCCTAGCAGAGGCCTCTTGGGATGACTGTCAACCGCCATCGGCCTGGCTTAACAGCTATCCTGACGAAGGACTCCAAGTCTTGGTGGCCTTACAAATTTAAGCAGGCTTTTCAATGTACAGTTCATCAGGTTTGCAAATATCTGAAGAGAAATCATACTATTGCCACTAGTATATTTTTAAAAAAGATTATGAAACCAATCCCTGTTTTTAAAGCAAATATTTTTTTAAAAAAATGTGTTGCATTATATGCTGATATTCAAGAGGATATTATGGTGGGTTTCGGTATGATTTGCCTTACAGCTAACTGAATGTGACAGAATAATCCAAGCATTATTCAGGGAAAATAAAAAGACTTCTACTTCTGTAGTAAAGGGATTTCTCATGATGATTAGAAATGATTACCCGTTATAAATTCCTTCCAAAATGAAATTAATAATTCCTTTCTCACGTGTCAGTGGTCCTTTGGGACAGCTTTATTTAAAAAAAAAAAGATGATTCATCTACTTCCTAAAATATAAGAAAAGCAAGACCTATATTTTTTAAAAAGTAGGCTAACACAATTATATCTCAAAGCAGCTTGATCTTTGGAACTTTTTCCTCAACATGTGAATTTATGCAGGATATCTGTTTGCTTCCCCCGGGTTCATAGACGGAAAAGATCACTAAGGAAAAAGCCAGAGTATAGATTAAAAAAAGGGGGAGGAAGGGCCATTTCTGTTCTGAATCAGCCCCATCATCTGAAATTTCCTTGAAATTGTGACTGTGCACATGGCCTCAGATGGCCTTGGGAGCAAAATATCTATGTTAGGACAGACTGTGATTGTAGCATAAGTATTCTTATTCTGAAATGGAAGGGGCTACTTAAAGCGTGGGAAACCCCGAATATCAAATTTAAATATATATTCCAAACATATACATTTCAAACATACAGTGTGCTACATAGGTCTGTGTATTTTAAACACTGTTTTAATGTTTTAATGCCTCCAAAAATAAAGCTAGGTGCCTCAACATTGGCCACCAGTTTTGGGATGATTATGGGTGTTGCACTGCTGAACATGAATGGAATCGGAACATCCTGGGCTACGCAGTCCCAGAGCTCCACGCTCCCTACTTTTTGCATTGGACGCAACGGTTGTGGGCAGGCATAATTCATCCAAGACTAAACCTAGGAGCCTCAAAATTTGGCCTCTAGTGTCAGAATGATGGTGTGAATTGCTTTGTACCAAAATTAAGGGAATCTGAACATCCTGGCCCAGGTTATCTCCAAATGCCTCCCCTCCCGCCACCACTGTTTTTCCTGGAAGCTACAGTCGACTGTACCAGGCATAAAACCATCCAAAAATAAAGCCTGGCTTCTGGACGATCACAGGAATGGCAATGCCAAACATGAAAGGATTTGGAACATCCTGGCCCACGCATTCCCCAGACCCCCACTTTTGCCCTGGAAGCTATAGTCATCTGTGACAGGCACAACTTATCAGAAAAACAGAGTTGCACTTACAGATGCTTCTCACATGCCCAGCTAGCACTGCACTGCCTCTCCAGGGTGTTAGCTACTCCTGGTCTGGGAAGACAGGGTTTTACTGCAAAGGAAAGCCTGTAGATGCCACTACAAGTTGGTGAGGAGGAGGAGGAGAAGAGGAAGAAGAAGAAAGAGGAGGAGGAGGAGATTGGTCTTATACCCCACCTTTCACTACCCGAAGGAGTCTCAGATTGGTTTACAATCTCCTTTCCCTTTCCCTCCCCACAACAGACACCCTATGAGGTACGTGGGGCTGAGAGAGCACTTAAGGGAGAAAGAGCCCTTAAGAGAACAGCTCTGAGAGAACTTATGACTGACCCAGGGTCACACCAGCAGCTGCATGGGGAGGAGTGGGGAATCAAACCTGGTTCTCTCAGATTAGAGTCCGCGCTCCAGACCACTACACTAAACTGGCTCTCAGACACACACACATTCATGTAGTAAATAAGGTACCTTTATAGGTATGAAACACAGCTTTCAATCATATATGATTATGCTATTTATTTACTTAAAATATTTCCACCTAGCCTCTATGTGGGCAAGGGACTGAAGGTCATACATGGCCACGACCAATGAACGATGGACAAGGGGGTGGGTGTGTGTGTGCTGTGCCAACGCTTCCTGCATCCCTACTTAGACACCACTTAGCTGTGGTCAAGAGTCCACTCGCTTCAGCTCTGGCCACCCTGCACTGCCACTAGCTAGGCGTCTAGCTTCTTCCTGATTTGGGGCCAGGAATACAGCACAAGGGTTCCTAGTGGCAGCATACTGGATATGTCCACTTTTTAATTAACTTGTTAATTTTAATTATCAATGTAAATAAAACTGTATCCATGCCAAAAAAAGTGCTTACAAACCAAAAACCATTTCACATATCTTATCATCTTGTTGTTGTTCAGTCCCACAGTCGAGTCCGACTCTTCGCGACCCCATGGACAAGATCTCGCCAGGCCCTACTGTTTTCCGCCGTCCTCTGAAGTTTGCTCAATTCCATGTTCGTTGCATCTATGACACTGTCTAACCATCCTGGTTAACCATCTTATCATCTACGTGGCAGTATTTCTAATTTTACATTTTCCTGAAGGTTAAACCAACATAAAATAATTGCCAATTTTATATAAATATATTTTGAGAATAAGCTTCCCACAAACATTCATATGCTGTATACTTATCCAACAGTATTGTAAACCAACTTTTGTGCAACCATGTATCTGAGATTTGATTTAAAGATGTGTTCTCAGTGGTCCTTTATAACGTAAAGTATTGGAATATTTTTTTAAAAAAATTGCAATTACTTAATATGATTCAAAATAAAAGAATTGGAAGATGGGACTCACCATCCCTAGAAATACCATTTCTTCGTCTCTAAGTTTCAAAGTCTTCTTCAACTGGGCGTGTCCACGCCAAAACTAAACATGAAAAGGAAGCCTAACATGATTAATTGACCTTGGTACAACTTCCTTTACAGGAGCAAGCAGGAAAAACAACAAACACAGGAAGGAAAAAACAACTTGTACAAATCCAGCAAAAGATCGTTTCCAGGTTGCCATCTGTGGGATTTTGGCACTGGCTTCAATCTTATTTGGGAGTGATTATTCTATGAATTCATGTGAACTTTGTTAACAAGTGATCTTTTACCGCACTCATGTTTTAACCCTTATAATACTTCCCTCATTTCATATAATCTTCCATAGGACAGTGTACATGGATGCTCTAGAAATAACTTCATTACACTGAAGCGTCTTCATGTTCTCTCATACGAACACACCAGTCTTTAAATGCATTTATAAGAACAGGGCTATCTAAAGGAAACCCTTATACCCTTCATCTCACAGTGGTATTTTCCCATGCTTCCACATCTGCAGAGAACGGCAGAAGGGCTGCATTCGATCATCCAGTCCAGCCCAGTACAAGAGGATGAGTCCATGACTGACGTTGCCCACCTCACTAGCTATATAACCCATCACACACACTCTGCAAGAGCTCATACCTCATATGAGCTTACCAAACACTTGCTAAGGCTTTGTTCCACCATTAGCAGCTAAATTCCACAGAGTGCAGGCTGCCTGCTTGTGTCCAGTGCTAATACGACTCTTCTGACAAGAGCCTGGCTTCTCTTCCTTGGACAAGGAAGGCTTTAGGCTTCTCCTCCTGTAACACCACCGCTTGGCCATTCCTCAGAACTTTTTGAGACTCACTGTTCTTCTCCTTCCTAATAACAATCCTTGCAAAGAACCCTTGAAAAGGGTTCATAGGCCTGTCCTTGACACACCTCCTTATAATGATCACTGTCCACGTAACTTGTCTTCTGGGTCTTTTAAGCATTGTCATTACTCTCTGAATCCTAAATGAGTAACTGCTGGCATGCAGATATGACGATACTGCCATCTATCCAACCACCCGCGGACTTTGTGGAATGGGATTTCCCATGGAGTCCCCTGAAATATTATTCCTGGGAGTCAATTGAGAGGAAGAGCACAGAGGACAAAGTGGGCATCTGAAGTGGGGAAAATCAGCGGAAATCACCACCCCCACTTCTACCAATATATAGTGTTCCATCAGATGAATAGCACGGTTAGATACATGCCAATATTTTACAGTAAGTTCTTACCACTGCTGGGTTTTTCAGGTACAATACTAGCTCTTATTGGACACAATGGCTTGGGTCCAATGACATACAATTGGAAACACCAATAGACTTAGCACAGTTCCACTTGCACAAGATCTTGTGCAGCACCTAGCACTTTCCTTCCAATAAATTATAATGGCCGGAGATTGGTTGCACAAAAACTTGTGCAAACAGAAATGCAAGTTGGGATACAATGTACGACTCAGTGCAAGCAGCTACCGAGGTCTTTTGCTTGTGTTTCTGTCTGTGCAGGAGCTCTAGTGCGAGCAAAAACTCTGCGCTGGACCCAATTCAGCCCTTCTTTTACTGCTACCTAGCCTGACATTTCTGCTACAGGATTTATCCCACGTACCGTTGGCAAGCTTCCTGTGGGACTCCTTCGCTGAAGCACCAGAGCTTTCATTAAAAATATTCCTTGGTTGAAGCGGAATCTGCAGACACACATTCCGAAAGCTCAAACCCCTGGGCCTTGCCCTTTTTATGCATTCCTCCAGCATGACATTCACACGCCTCCCAAAAACCTGGTGCCTTTGACAAGTGGCTGAAACCCACTCGGCAATCCGGAGTTGCCCCTTAGAATAGAGCTGAAACACTCCTTGCCTCACTTAGTGTAAAGCCAAGGTTCCCAAACCTGACTTTACCAGACAAGCATACAGATGAGAGACAGCACCAAGCCTCACAACTGAGAGGCTGTGAATGGCAGACTTCAGAATTTCCCACCTTCACTATCTCATCTAGAGATGTGAAGGCCCGGGAAAAAAACGGAAACATTCGGGGGGGAAACGGGGTTTTTCCGTTTTTTCCCTGAAGCCTTTTTGTTTTTTTCCGAAAAATTGGAAAAATTGAAAACATTGAAAAAGAAAAAAAATGATTATGGAACGTTTTATTTTAACATGATGAATAAAATATTTTAAGACAAGCTGTTCAAATATTTTCCAAATCATTTCTAAAATATATATATATGGTATCAGATTGATCTAATTTCTGTACACTGAAGACAAACAAGTCCTAGGTTACAAACTGAACCCTCCAATGCAAGAACAAGATGCATTTCTTCCTTTAGGAGGTGCGATTGTCAGAAGAAAATTAAAAAGTTTCAGTTTTGTTTTTGCATGTGGGTGGGTATTCTGTTTGAAATAATTTTTTGGATACAATATATTTTTAATATGCTAGTTGTGATAATTTCGTGCCAAGTAAAAATGTCCATAGTCATATTTTATGTTCCTAAAGTAACAAAATGACTTTCAATCTAGAAACGACAAAAGAAATGCTAATGTCGCATTTTTCCCATTTTTCCAAAAATTTCCGTTTTTTTCCGGGGGGGAAAAACAGAAAAAACCCGGGGTTTTTTCCAAGCTTCAAATTTCCGGAAATTTTACATCTCTAATCTCATCATAGATTTGAGTCCGAATCCCCACCTACATCTGGCTATTGATGGGGCTGACTCGGCGCTAGTCCTGTCCTCGGAGCTGCTCTGGCACCACACATCTGCCATCCCAACATACCCTCTACTTTGGAAGGAGGGCCTGTAACGGCCCCGGGCTTATGGAATCCACTGCCACTGAGAAAACCCCAAGAACCGTCATTTTCAACTTCTCCTCGCTTAATAGGTTGAGCCATGCCTGCAACTGGGGTTGCCGCATTCCAGGTGGGGCCTGGCGATCTCCGCTATTACAATTGAACTCCAGACAACGGAGATCAGGTCCCCTGGAGAAAAAGTCTCCTTTGAAGGGTGGACTCTATGGGCATTATAACCCTGCTGAGGTTCCTCCCCTCCCCAAACCCCGCTCTCCCCGGGCTCCACCCTAAAATCTCCAGGGATTTCCTGCAACCATCAAATTAATAATGACTACTAGCACCGGCTCAAGTGGTTAAGACGCTGAACTTCAGGCTGTGGAAGGTCGGTAGTTCAGCAGCTCGAGACCCGAGTGTGCTGCATGACGGAGTGAGCTCCCGTCTCTAGTTCCAGCTCCTGCCAACCTAACCGTTCGAAAGCAAGAAATTGCAAGTAGATA